ACAAATAGAAGAGCAAAAACATAATTTTCATGCAAATATTTGACGTCTAATCATCGAATAATTATTGAAGAAACCAAAGCTGAGGAGCATTTTCTAATATAATGTGGCTACGAAGGAATAAGTAGCTAGGAAGGGAAACCTTTCACCAAGCTAGAGGAGGGGAAAACAGCACATTCAAAGGGATTAAACATTGTGCTACTCCTGAATTACAAAGTTGATTCTGACATTTTTGGCTGTTTTGAGTTACTAATACCATGAAGTCAGAAACCAAATGTTCTATTTGCTCTTTAAAAAATCCTAAGATTATTCGGAGTCGTTATCAAGATATTCAAAGAACTGCATATAAAAAAAGCTTGAAATATTGTGAAACTAAATTTCTTTTAAGTCAAATTTCTAAAAATTAGGAAGTGAGCAGATAGAACTTTGTAATTAAGAAGTAGCGATTTAGTAAAACAGCGTAATGACGTAGGCCTACAACAATTCTAGGAGAATAGATAAACAAAGGATTTAAAAAATAGTAATGATAAAATCAGAAAATGTCTACATGTGCCCAGCTTGTTACATGCACTGGGAGGGGTAGGACAGTAAAAGCCTCTAAGATGCATCTAAGAGAGTCTAGGGTCCTGAAAACCATCCATGCAGAAGATCTGTCTTACCGATGCATGTGGTCTATAGATTTTAGTAACTGATACATGTAGTGCTTAATCTTTCTCTCCGGTAGATAGTGGCGTTTTCCTGAGGAGAAAGTACAGTTATTAAAACACCGAAAGAAACATAAATAAACAGTAATGAATGCAAGAACCACGGGAAATAAATGACATCATGCAAACATGTCACTGTTTCAAGTCACCGAATATCCTGTCGTCAGGGCATGTTTTTAAGGGTCACTTCTACCATAATATACATAAATAACATGCATAATGTGCAGACCATTTTTCTTTTCTTCAAGCACCTTCTCCGACTTGGAACAAATCATGAACACGATAGGCCTACATCAGATGACAACAATACAATTGTCCTTATCATCATAATATGTATTACTGTAATTATCATTATCATTATCATCATCACCATCATCATCCTCACCATCACTATCATTCCATTGCTATCAATATTACATGTATCATCATCATCATCCTCACTACCTACTCCTCCTCTTTCTCCTTCTGTTTTTATCTTCTTTCTTTCATTATTATTATCAAATACTGTTATGATCACTATCGGTATTATCATCGTGATTGTTTATAATAATAATAATAATAATAATAATAATAATAATAATAATAATAATAATAATAATAATAATAATAATAATAACAATAATAAAATCATTATTATTACTGTTAGCTCATGATAATCATCATCATTATATTTATTATCCTTTTCATTATTTGATTGTGCATTTCCTGTTTATCCTTATCAATACCATGAATGTTATCTTCATCATTCTCTCCATTATGACATCATCATTGTATTAATTATTATTATTATTATTATTATTATTATTATTATTATTATTATTACTATTATTATTATTATTATTAATACTATTATTATTATTATTATTACTATTATTATTATTATTGAGATTATTTTCGTCCTAAAAAACAAAATGTAAATAATTGTCATATGGATGGCTATTTTTAATAACAGTAACAGACAAAAAACAAACAATCCCACAACAACCAAAAACAGCCAACAACAGTGAAGAAACAAACGTTCACAAAAAGTAGGTAAGAGACGACTGTGAGTCATAGTTACAACAATGAAAAACGGCCATGTTCTTCTGTTAACTTCCTAAATCACATGTTTACACCCAAACAACTGTCAATACTTAAACACACTCAGACACACACACACACACACACACACACACACACACACGCGAACACGCACGCATGCACACATACACACACACACACACACACATACACACACACACACACACACACACACACACACAAACAATCCCCTATAAAAGACACATCACAACACATTGACAACTCGTAGACTACCCCCCCCCCCCCCACCTTCCGTTCCCCCTTCCCTTCTTGTCGCATATTGCTGAATGTTATCGGTGGGCAATCGCCCTATTTCTTAACACCGTCGAAAACGTTCCCTTTGTTCCTGCGTGGGTCGGGTCTATTTCTCCAAGACAAATGATAAGCTCAACTCAACACAATAGACTTGAGATTGTTCCAGATTAACAAAAAACTCGCACAGGACGACAATCACACAATATAAAAATAACTGATAAGAATGTCACGATGACTGTAACGATTATAATACATCTACGTGTTGTCGCGCCCATCAATACACTCTACACTGATTTAGGAAGCGGGCTGCTTCGACCCTGCCTGTAAGGGCCAGTCCGGGCTGAGTGGGATACAGCATCCTGCCAGAAAGACGGGAGATACTTCTCTGCCCGGGAATCGAACTCCTGTCTCGTGCGGGCACCGGCCAAGTCGCTACCTCAGAACTACCAAGTTTTATCTGATATTTTTGGTCGCTTTAAGTTATTAAGAGCATGAGATTTAAAAAAAACCCAAAACAACAACAACCAAAGGTTATATATGCTTTCTCAAAATCGTCAGATTATTCAGAGTCGTTATCAAGATATTCAAAGAGATATATTCAAAATATTATACCAAAAAGCTTGATATGACGTGAAACTCAACATCTGTTACGACAAATTTCTCAAAACTGAGCAGAGAGAATTTTGTAATTCTGAAAGCAAAGAGCATAACTATAACACCACAGAAGCCGGTGATAAGAACTTAGCAAGACACGACCACAAATAAAAATGACTAGGGTTTGAATTCAGATTTGTTATCAGCATGCGGGAAAGACGCTTAGAAAGTCGCAAATTAAAGTGACACTTTTCTTCTTCTCCTCCTCCTCCTCCTCCTCCTCCTCCTCCTCCTCCTCCTCCTCCTCCTCCTCCTCCTCCTTCTTCTTCTTCTTCTTCTTCTTCTTCTTCTTCTTCTTCTTCTTCTTCTTCTTCTTCTTCTTCTTCTTCTTCTTCTTCTTCTTCTTCTTCTTCTCTTTTCCAGCAGTTGGTCATTCCTTCTCGGACCTTCCTTATATAAAACATCGTCTCTTGCCATTTCACCTGTCAGACTTGGTTTGGTTCTACGCCATGTTTCTGTCCTTTTCCCATTTTCTGCTAGTTGTCCTCCTTCAATCCTCTCTTACTTTCAACCTTGCTTCCAGAATACGTTTCTCGAGTGAACCCTGGCGTTTGATATACCCAAAATAGTTCAGTTTCATTTTCATTACGTTCTGGGGGAGAGTTAGCGTTTCTTCACCAGTATTTTTTTCCTTAGTACTTCTTCAATCTGTATATTCTGTCACCAGGATATTCTTAGAGTTATTCAAAAGCACAACATTTATACGTTATCTAGTAATAAAGAATTGTATAATATTGTACGGGTAAATGGCCCACCATAACACCATCCCTGACGACCAATGTCTCCGCCAGCTAACCCCCAGTGCTGTGTGCGTCGGTCAGCGCGACTTCTGCGAGAGACGTGATTAATATACACAGTGCACACTGTCAGTCGGATTCATCAGTTTGAGTCGGGGCCAGCCAGATGTTTCCCTAATTGATTTTTTGGGGTTTTTTGTTAGGTTGGGGGGGGGGGGGCTTTTGGCACAATACGACTGAATTAATGTAAACCTAATTCGACAGCATCCTGGAGGTGTCATCTCTGACTCAGAGGTTGACGTGTAATGACCCACCATCCTTCAGTGTGGCAAACTGCTGTTGCACATTCCACTGTATCGACTAAATTCGACTGTGACCTCCAAAACCAAACGAGTTTGTTTATTACCAAGATCACGAGTAGAATAGAATCGGTCTCATTATGTTCAAAGGGCAGCTTTTGTCTCATTTATGAAGGAAAAACTAACCGTCCCCCTCCCCCCCCCCCCCCCCACCTTCCGTTCCCCCTTCCCTTCTTGTCGCATATTGCTGAATGTTATCGGTGGGCAATCGCCCTATTTCTTAACACCGTCGAAAACGTTCCCTTTGTTCCTGCGTGGGTCGGGTCTATTTCTCCAAGACAAATGATAAGCTCAACTCAACACAATAGACTTGAGATTGTTCCAGATTAACAAAAAACTCGCACAGGACGACAATCACACAATATAAAAATAACTGATAAGAATGTCACGATGACTGTAACGATTATAATACATCTACGTGTTGTCGCGCCCATCAATACACTCTACACTGATTTAGGAAGCGGGCTGCTTCGACCCTGCCTGTAAGGGCCAGTCCGGGCTGAGTGGGATACAGCATCCTGCCAGAAAGACGGGAGATACTTCTCTGCCCGGGAATCGAACTCCTGTCTCGTGCGGGCACCGGCCAAGTCGCTACCTCAGAACTACCAAGTTTTATCTGATATTTTTGGTCGCTTTAAGTTATTAAGAGCATGAGATTTAAAAAAAACCCAAAACAACAACAACCAAAGGTTATATATGCTTTCTCAAAATCGTCAGATTATTCAGAGTCGTTATCAAGATATTCAAAGAGATATATTCAAAATATTATACCAAAAAGCTTGATATGACGTGAAACTCAACATCTGTTACGACAAATTTCTCAAAACTGAGCAGAGAGAATTTTGTAATTCTGAAAGCAAAGAGCATAACTATAACACCACAGAAGCCGGTGATAAGAACTTAGCAAGACACGACCACAAATAAAAATGACTAGGGTTTGAATTCAGATTTGTTATCAGCATGCGGGAAAGACGCTTAGAAAGTCGCAAATTAAAGTGACACTTTTCTTCTTCTCCTCCTCCTCCTCCTCCTCCACCACCACCACCTCCTCCTCCTCCTCCTCCTCCTCCTCCTTCTTCTTCTTCTTCTTCTTCTTCTTCTTCTTCTTCTTCTTCTTCTTCTTCTTCTTCTTCTTCTTCTTCTTCTTCTTCTTCTTCTTCTTCTTCTCTTTACCAGCAGTTGGCATTCCTTCTCGGACCTTCCTTATATAAAACATCGTCTCTTGCCATTTCACCTGTCAGACTTGGTTTGGTTCTACGCCATGTTTCTGTCCTTTTCCCATTTTCTGCTAGTTGTCCTCCTTCAATCCTCTCTTACTTTCAACCTTGCTTCCAGAATACGTTTCTCGAGTGAACCCTGGCGTTTGATATACCCAAAATAGTTCAGTTTCATTTTCATTACGTTCTGGGGGAGAGTTAGCGTTTCTTCACCAGTATTTTTTTCCTTAGTACTTCTTCAATCTGTATATTCTGTCACCAGGATATTCTTAGAGTTATTCAAAAGCACAACATTTATACGTTATCTAGTAATAAAGAATTGTATAATATTGTACGGGTAAATGGCCCACCATAACACCATCCCTGACGACCAATGTCTCCGCCAGCTAACCCCCAGTGCTGTGTGCGTCGGTCAGCGCGACTTCTGCGAGAGACGTGATTAATATACACAGTGCACACTGTCAGTCGGATTCATCAGTTTGAGTCGGGGCCAGCCAGATGTTTCCCTAATTGATTTTTTGGGGTTTTTTGTTAGGTTGGGGGGGGGGGGGGGCTTTTGGCACAATACGACTGAATTAATGTAAACCTAATTCGACAGCATCCTGGAGGTGTCATCTCTGACTCAGAGGTTGACGTGTAATGACCCACCATCCTTCAGTGTGGCAAACTGCTGTTGCACATTCCACTGTATCGACTAAATTCGACTGTGACCTCCAAAACCAAACGAGTTTGTTTATTACCAAGATCACGAGTAGAATAGAATCGGTCTCATTATGTTCAAAGGGCAGCTTTTGTCTCATTTATGAAGGAAAAACTAACCCTCCCCCCCCCCCCCCCCCTCTCCGAACCTCAAACCGATGAATCCGACAAACATTACGCGCGGGGTATAATAATAACAACGCGTCTCTGTCTGCTCTCACTGGGTTAAAAAGTCGATATTTTTATATCCGCATGCCGGGGGTCTGGTCCCGGGGACAGAAACACACGGCCCGATAAATGTCTTAACTGAACTAACAGTCCCGCTCCCCCTCCCCAACCCCACTAACTTTTCACCCCCCGCCTCGGAGTGGTGATTCAATTCAGGCTCAAATCAAGGTTTGGCCGTCTCTGGATCACAGGGGAATCACAGAGAGAGGTAGGAGTAAACATTCCCGGCCACCATTAAGCCCGTGCTCACTTTCTTGACGTCCGATCAACGGCGTCGCATTTGCATACCACCCGGTGCCCTGGGGACCGACGGTGGAGAGAAAAGGTCTGGATTTCCAGCTCAAGAGGCCCCCGTGATTGCAGCAATCGTCTCGCCACACGACAACGGCCAATTATTCTATCCACGGGGGAGTTCCCCCACACGGCCACACCAGGCCTGATTGCTGTGTGTCTACGTGTTTCCGTCCCGTCAATACGAATATTAGGTATACAAAGAGGATTGGAACAACGTTTGCTCTCTCTCTCTCTCTCTCTCTCTCTCTCTCTCTCTCTCTCTCTCTCTCTGTGTGTGTGTGTGTGTGTGTATGTGTGTGTGTTTGTATTTTGTGTATGTATTTGTGTTGTGTGAGTGGTTATATTTCTTTCTTTTTTGGGCGAGGGCGATAGCAAAAAATTCCCTGGGAACTGAACACGATAAAGAAATACAAGCTGGCTGTCAGACCGTCTACACCTCTCATGTCGACTCCTTGGACGAGGAAATGAAATTTTTATCACGGGTTTATCACTTGTTTACGCGAGGGTAAAGGATTAACCGAGTGCCAAAAGTGAAAGTAGCCGAGATTATCCCCGAACTCGAAGGCGGGGCTTACCTGTATAGTTTACTCTTCCCAGAACGAAAGTGAGTCATTTCACTTGTATCTTTATCAGAGATATAGCGTGGATAGGCGTTGAAGTCGGACTTTTTTATCGGGAGTCGTCTTGGCGGGTTTTAAGTCATTTTCAGTCGTATTGTGGTCATGTGACACCTTTGGGTGATTTCTGTGGCGAGTGTCAAGTTGTTGGAGATAATGTCTGAGCCGTGACACGTCTGTTAGGTCATCGTTTTTACGCCCTTTTTGATGGTGAAAATGGACTGTGGCCTGTGACGTAGAATTGTAGGGTTATTAATGTTGGTCGTGAATTGGAGAGACCCTGCGGTCTCGTCATCCGTTTTCTTTCTTTTTTTTCCTTTTGGTTTTTTTTTCATTAAAAAAATTCTGTCTCTTTCTGTGTGTTCCTCTGCCCCCCTCCCTCTCTCTCTCTTTCTCTCTCTCTCTCTCTCTCTCTCTCTCTCTCTCTTTCTCTCTCTCTCTATCTCTATATCTCTATCTCTATCTCTATCTCTCTCTCTCTCTCTGAGTTCCGCCGTCTAT